ATGGAGTGACACAGAAATGTTCTTAAAGAGCATGAAAAGTAATAAGATCAATCTGTGTTTATTTGTTTTGAAATTAAATTAATATGTCAATGTAATTTGATAGATGCATCTGTTTTCTTGGATGTTCCTCAATAGTTTTTTCTTTACTTTGAATGTTAAAAACTTATTTCCAAAGGTAAACCAACAAAATCAGATTCTTCTCGTAAAATGATTGGAAGGTGCGTTTTTTGTTGACAAGATTTTGATCCCTTCTATTGACAATGAGAATAATAGTAGATCTAGAAAACATATAAATATTATATAAACACTCTCTTTAGCTGGTACGGATCAGAACGAACCAAACTCTTTCATCCTAAAGATTTGCACCCAGTTTTGCTGGCAACATCTGGCGACGAGAGATTTGTCACACCCTCTTCATTTTCCTTTCCCAAAATAGAATTTTGACGCCGGTGAAGGAACAAACGCAAAAAGTGCTGCCGAAGGGTAATCGAAGGGCAAGGACTAAGGAGTTTTGAAGATAATTCGTCCGCTGCATTGGCAAAGTTTTAATGTCGTTATGAGCAAATTTGAGTTTGGGGACTACAGAGGGAAGAAGGGCTAAGCTAATGTGATGGGGAGCAAACTCATTTAATTTAAAACTGGGTTTGGAAATGGAGCTGTGAGAGTTGAGATTGTATTTAATTAATTAATGAAATAAGGGGAACAGCTATACAGTCCAGAAGGGTCCTAATGAACTTAAATGAGCAAATAATATTATGTAATTTGTGAGCTTAATTAAATTTAGTATAATAATTATTAGTTTTAGTGATAGATTGGGTTTTATGGACAGACCTTGCAAACAATTTCCATAAATTTTCTCATAAGGTTTTGCTGTTATTGTAATAAATTTAAAAAAAAAAATTCAGATGAGAGATAAATTTCGCGAATTTCGCCCTCAATTAAAATTGTTTATTATCACAACAGGAATTTTCTAACTTTTTTACACTGGTTTTTGTCTCAGTATCTCGCGTCTCGGAACGTAATTCCACGTAAAAGGTGTTTAGTCAAAAGTACTAATTTAAATTATTTCCCGTTCTGAGTGGTTTCTTTGGGTTTTTAATTTTCATTTTATTGTTTATTTATATAAAAAAGCAATACGCAGAAGAACGCAGACGGAAGTGATGCTTTTTCAATAATTGATAAAGAGATAATTTACGTTATAAATTATTAATTTTCTTATATAGAATTCAAACTTTTGGTTAAAATTTAATTAACCCTACTGAGAAATTCTCAATAGTGATATAATAAATATCACGGAACATAAAAATTGCAACAGGCTCACCTTAAAGAGCGTTCGCATGTATCAAGAAGGTGTCAAATCAGGCAAAACTTTCGGCGGCACGACAGTACTTTTTAATGGCGATTGTCACAAAATGTGATGTATTACTGCTGAGAGGGTCTCTCTTTTTGGTTTGTGATTTTAGTTGAAAAGTATCACGCTTGGTAAAGAGCGTAACACATCATGAGACAGAAATGATTTTTCTCTCTCAGTGCCTGAGCAAACATTACCTGCTTTCGTGTGCATACTTTCTTCCTGCGAAAAAAAATCACTGACGTCACTCAGTCGTTTCAATTTCCCAGGAGGAAAAACCGAAGCAGAGAGACTCGCTCACAAAATGGCCAAATTATAATGCCTTATTTATTAAAAGCCGCGCTTGAAGCAAATTTCTTCTTCTGTAACTTGCTTGAAAGGAAAAATCTGTTGTGTCGAGATTTTTCGCAATAACTGTGAGAGCAATTGTTGTATCAATACGTGAGGAGTTTTTTCCCTTGGCAGCCCACGCCGCTCATCGTAGAAAAAATATTTTCCCTTGACCTACAACGTTGCTTTTTGTTCGTGTGTCTATTTTTGTATCGCACGCAAGCTAGAAATCTTCTGTAAACCATCGATTTTTCTAAATAATGAGAAAAATACATTTTTAATCACGAGGTGTCAACATCTTAAAGATTTTATTATTGATGTAATTTGAATGAAGATGAAATAAGCTTATAATATTTTTAAGATAAACGAAATTAATTCATTTTTTTTTATAACTGAACCATGAGGATTCGTATAACTTTCATACACATAATTTTTTCAGCTTGTAATGGTAATTTAACACTTGTTTATATTGACAAGCTTAATAAAATATATTGGAAAAAGGGTTAATGGTATTCTCAATAGATAATTTCATTATATAAAATTAACTTTGGACGAACGGTTTTTGCATTTAGAGTTTAAAAATTTTCATTTTCGTATAAGAAATGAGTATAACAAAAATGTCAATGCACCTTCCCTGTAACAAAAAAAAAATGTAATTTAATGATCACGCGGCGTGAAATTAATTAATAAAAAATGCGTGTCTGCTATAATTGAATTAGGACCAATTATTTAATAATTAATAACAAGAATGGAAATCTTGAAAAGAAAAACAATGTTTTCATAAATTCAATTTTCTGAAATTTTAAAAATTAGTCATTACGGAAAAATTATACATATTTTAAATTGGAAATGATGTCTAAATTTCTCCCTCTTCTATGTATATAAGTATTTTTAATTTCCCAGCTTTGTGCAGATTCGCTTACGACGTCATTTAATAATGAGAACTGACGTTACGGCAGTGAAGTAAAATGCTCACACCACTCTTCTTTTTCCCCACGTGTATTGCGCTCTGCAGATGTTCCAACTTTTGCAGTTTCCTAGTGACAGTTTGTGATTTGACTGCACTGCTGCTTTTAATGCTGGCGCCCATTCTCGAGCTGAAGAAGGAGAGAAGCGCGCCAACTTTCATGGCAAAGGTCATCAACGAAGAGCTCAAATAATGCCACGGAGATTAGAGATTTCGGGGCCACAAACAGGCCCTGGCGGAGCGTAATTAATTTCACCCGCAGACCAAGCGACAGGTCACTTAAAAATTAAACTCGGCGCCAAAGTTGAGAATGTGCGCAAAATTCATAATAACGCGCAAAAGACTAGACGCAGAAAACATCCGCAAGCCAAGCAATTATCTTCTTCGCACAGGTAGACTGAATTTTGCGTGAAAATATTCTTATAAAGGATGAAAATTTCATTTTGATTCAAGACATAAAAAAAGAGGCGGCACCAGTCTGCAGCTTTTTCAAGGAAAAAGTTGTTGCGTTCAAGTTAACTGGAGTTCGCCTGTGGGTGAATGCAAAGCACGTAAAAATTGTGTGGCTCGTTAGCGGTTCCTGAACAAAATTTCATCTTGGTTCACGATTTGTTTGTTTGTTTGAGCTTCCTGCTTTGTGGAAGAATTATTTAAAAAAAATGCAATTTGGTCAGGAATAATTTCCCTGTTAAAAACTAAGTATTTTTCCTGCATTGTTTATTTTTGCGCTTTTATTATCTGCTCGAGGGTTTGGATGGGCAACCAACAAAAGCCGGTTCTGGCTGACAACAAGGGGTGCACCAAGGCCGCCATCAAAGCCCTGCTCTGGAATCATGTTTGCCTCCCTACTGTGGATTTGTATTGAGAAACGCTAGGCATTTTCTCTGTGAGACCTATCAAGCATGTTAAGGAAACCTGTTAATATCGAGTTACATAATAGTTCAGTCTCAGATCACCCATCCAAGAACTGACTGCACTTTATGTTGCTTAAATTTGGTGAAGGAACAAGAACAAGCTTGTAAAATGTGACATGGCAGTAAATAAGTAGAATAATACAATTGTCTAGACTGCAAAACTTACTATTATTTTTTACTTAAATATGTTATCCCCATTAAATTAGTAGAATATTATTATTAATAAAATCAATCAAAATTAATTTAAATTTTTTCCTTCCCTGCGGGTCAAAAAAAAAAATAATAAAGGTGGCTGTAAGGATTGAGGATATTAAAATAAAATTGCTATTTGACAAAAAAATGTCTACTTATCAAACCGCGATTTCCAATCTCCAAGGGCAGAAGTGATCAAAATGATGAAAAAATATTAAGCCACCTTATGTCACAAACATTTTTCATTTTTAAGTCCGAAAAAGAGCCATTCGGCGAGTGTGGCACGCTCTTGAGCCTATGAGCAGCTTAGCTGAAGGGCAGGTGGTTATTTTTTTTCTTTTGGAAAGTGTCTAGACGAAAACCACCCAGATATGGAAGAGATGGACGTGTGATAAAAAATCTTTTGAAGAGATTAACTATACAAGTTTATCTTTTTAATGGATCTCTATCCCCAATTCATTTTCCAGATCGTCTTTCAAATAACAAATTTCCAAATTATGTGAGCACTTCGTATGTATTTTTTAAAGTATGTTATTCATATTCTTTCCGTATTATTTTACACTGCAAATTGGACGTATGCGGACTCTTTTTCCTCATTGGATTTTTTTATAAACTAATTTTAAATATTTGCAAGGAGAAAAAATTAGTCCGCTTTTAGCTGCAGAGGCCAAATGAGAAAATCTTGGATAAAAGTAATAAAAATCAGATGCTTCAAAATATCATTTTTTTTTTTTTGCTTTTTTTTTTGTAAAAATGAGAACGCTTTATTTTCTTCACTAATTGGGTTATTTCTGGCTCATTTTTTGCTCTGCATTTAAAAGCGCCCCTTTACATGGATGGTTTTAATCTTTATTTCGTCAATATGGTAAAGCAACCGCATTCATTTCATTTGATTTTCTAAACAAAAAATTAAATATTTACTCAATAATTATTACAAATATCTTGTTTTTTATTTTTTATTTTATTTGATCATCAATTTTGAAATTATTCTGGCTGTTTTTTTTTAGCAATCGGCAATCTTTAGTGACAACTTAAAAAACATAATTATAATAAATAAAGCTCTCCAGCAATTGAATTCAAATTTCCAACTTTAAATAAAATTTATATCTCCTTTCCAAATCTCTACTTCGCGTTCATAAATTGAATTTATGAGCAACAATGTTGTAATTTCTACAAACACCTGTTTCCATTCACATAAACAAAATTGCGCCGGCACACTAGATTGAAATATTACGGAAATACTCACGGTGGTGAGCTCGAGCATGCCGAAGAGCTGCAGGAAGATAACGGCTCGGAAAACGAGCGCATCCACTTTGTGGGCCGACACTTTGAAATCGGGCACGGAGAACTCGGCGCGACGGCAATTTTTTCAAAAAACACTTTTTCCGCCGCATAAATTAATCCGGCGGTCACTTCATGTCTTGCCAATTTTTTTGACCTGAAGAAGCGGGTGGACGAAGCCGCGGTCGACGTCCCACCTGCGACCCGCGGAGCCACAGACTGTGCCTGGCCTGAGCAATATAATCCGGCGGCGGCTCTCGCGAGGGGGCGGCGCACGCGCCTGCCCCCAGAATAGCCGCCGCCGCCGAACCGAAACAACGCTCAGAGGTGCAGGCGAAGTGTGCACTTTTCGCTTTCGCACTGGAAAGCGAGTTCTCTTCCCAGGCACACGTGAATGCGCAGTTTTTTTATCTTTGATGTTGGTATAAACGTATATTTTGCACCTGGCTTTGTTTGTTTTCAACTTCAACCCTACCGCCATTAAATTAGTCTCATCTTTCTAAAAGAAAATTTTCCTATGGGTAAATCTAGTTTGAAAGTTTCTGAGGCGATTGCAGAAAGGGATTTATTGTGGGTAAATTTTTTGTTGACTGTTTTGTACGTGAAAGTAAGTTGAAATAAAAATAATTAAAAACAAGGTGAAAGGTGAGGAAAGAGTACAAATAAGAGCAACTGGAGCTTTTTGGGCTCAAAAAATTTGGAATAAATAGCTCACCAATTCTTCAAAATGCGGTAAATTTAGAATAAAAATTGTACCTCCGTGTTTCAAATTTTAGCTTTATTTACAGGGTTATTTTTATTTACTTTCTCCTTCTCTAAAGAATCAAATATTGGAAACGATGAAATTTATTTGAAAAAAAAAAGTTAGAATGAGGAAGTTGGTTTCTTGAAAATGATTAAAAATATAGATCTATCAAAATTCTTCCTTCAATTTGATTTTTAAATAATCTAAAATTTATAGAAATAACCAATTCTAAAAACCAATTCCTCAAAATATTTTCTGCTGGAATTATGTCTTCAGCGAATGAATCAAAATAAGCTTTCTTATTTTATTCCCTAAATGTTTGCAATGAATCGATTGGCGGCAGCTGGTGGTTGCACGCGGCGCAAGATGGAAAGCGAATATTTTAATCATTTTTGCTTTATTGCTTTGTTAGGGAGAGTGTTTCACAGTTGGTGGAAATAGGTCCTCTGCCGTTGGAAATTTTTCTCCCCTTCACTCATTCATTTTGTCGTCTCTTTCAGACAAGCGCACGAAGCATCTAATCTAATTGGATATCGCAGACCTAATGTTGTAAAAGTTGTAAATGAATCAACGTGCACGACAATTTTTTATGAATAAAGTGCTCCCACTTTCGAGCAACCCTGGTAATAACTTCTGCACTCGAGAAAACGGTGAAACTAATGTGCATCAAGTGCAAATAACAATAATTAAACTGGGTTAATTGGTACAAATTAATTAGCAACTCGAAGCCTCTGTTTACATGTGAAACTGGAGCAAGTCAAGAGTTTGGTGTCACAAGCAAGTCCGTCCTAGTACAATTTGGAAAATAGAGTGGAGCATGTTGATTTCCTTGAAGAGCAATGACGCTGCTTGGCGAGATTCATTTGGGAAGACTTGCAACTTCATAGGCGAGGCAAACTTTTAGATTGGCAATCTGACGAGAGTTAAGTTTGTCCCTTGAAACAGCTGCCACCCTACCCTAAGCTCTGATTAATTTTATTCCTGTTCTTTTTATTAATATTAAGTGGGAATATGTTTAGTGCATTATTGTATTTAATGAATTGAAATTGGCTAAAAAAATACTTTGCAAAATTAAATTATTAAACTTTATAATATGAAACAAAACATTTGTACTGATTAAAAATTAAATAATTAAAAAAGGAATGAGATTTTTGTTCTCATGCAGTCAAGCTCATTGTAAAAGATAAAATGATTTGTGTTGAAGAACTTATTAAATTCAATTTCATGCTACAAAAACAAAATTAGAATTATTTAATTGCTTATTAAGCCTAATATATTTTTTCTATTGAAAAGTGATGCATGCTTTGCATACATTCCACTTTATAAAATAAGATTTATTACCATTTCATAATTTCCCAAATTTGGAAATAAAAATGATCCACATAATAAGTAATTTTGTAACTTGAATTCTGAAAAATCTCTTTTGCATTGGCCGTTATTTAAAATGGAAATGTTCTTAGAATTTTTCTTTTTATTCCTTTAATTATTTTTGTGCACAAAGAGATGTTTATTTCGGAGTCTGTCTAGTCTCTTTTAAGAAAACGCCGACCCTCTCTTGCTTTGGTAATGAAGTTGGGGAAAACACAAAGGGTTCTCTTAAACGTATTTTCTCTACTAATAACACGAACAAATGAAAAACGGCCTTTTTTTAATTGCACTGTGCCGCCCAAATTCTGAGAAAATGTTTCACACTAAAGAGGGCCATTGTAAACGGCTTTGGACCTTTGGTTCTTGCATCGCAAACTAGACTATTATGAGAGGCAATTCAAACACCACAGACGAACCAAATGAGGCAAAAGCAGCACCGTGCCTCTTTTGAGGTTTCAAAGTTTCCATCGGCCATTCACCAGGGTTCAGAGCGAGCCGAAGCAAGAGAAATCTGCCTTCAAATAACTCTGCTCTGAAACATTTGCAAATATTATTTATCATTCTCTGACGAAACTCGTAATTCACCTTTTCAGTTTGCTCTTTGCTCTTCTGTGAATAGTTTATATTATGTGCGTGTTATTTTTAAACTGCATACTGCATCTTTTTTTATATATTAAAGTAAAGCACATAACATTTTCAGAAGTCAAACAAATTTCAGGGTAAACAAAAATTAATACTGATAGCTTCATGAGGCCTTTTGTTTTCTATTTTTATGGAGATACGTTTTATGTATGTTGCGTGTCCGTCATTTCAACACAGATACAATAGATAAATGTTTATTTATAGCAGCTCACGTGCATCAACGGCATAGTTTTTTTGCCACACGTTATTTATTTATTTTTAGAAAGTAGAATAAAATAGGTAGCAAACCTGTGAAATAAGTCAAATATTTTAACTATTAGAATAAACGATCACAACATTCATTTTTGTACACTTTTTATTTTATAATAATATTAAATTTACTGTTACGAGCAGTTGGTCTACGATAAAGGAATATTATTATAGATAAATCCTTCATTAATTCAGTGAGAAGAGAACTGAAGATTTCCAACTGAACTTGGGTTTACAAAGTTTGAAAAGATAAAAAAAAAAAACGTTTGAAAAGAATATCGAATAGTTTATTGATGTTGAAGTTTTTCCATTTGTAAGGAATTAATTATGCTTAAATGTTTTTGTTTTTTGTACGTATACAATATCCGTCATTGTGATTAACAAGTATTATTTAAATTAAATTATTCAAAGTTATGCAACCGGCTCGTCACCTGTGTTCAAAGTATTGCCTGTTTGCTTAACAAAGGGAATAATGCAAACGAAATGAATGACCCAATCATTATTCTCAGAACGAGACGCAAAGCAAAAAGCCTAGTCAATCAGCAGCGGCAAACACCGGTTCTTTGGCAAAATCAATATTGCTATTTGCGAGAGGAAAATTCATTTGAATGAAAGTAGCGTGGGCTGCATATATGTGTTGGCTAACAAGCTGTGGCCGCTATTTATCGATGCAGAGGCGTACAATTCAACCATTTATTAGGTCATTAGAGACTGACACTTAGCCCCGGCCTGTAGTTTGTGCGAGAGTCTAATATTTCATAGTCACGCTCATTAACCGTTCAGTTAATCATACATAATATATCCTCTATTAATGGCACTCGCAACACGCAGTCTGATCGATTACTAAGATTATATGCCAGTGACGAAGAAATATCGTCTTCATAGAACCGATTATTTATGCTTGAAAATTTCAATGGTTTGAATTTTTTTACTCACAATCATCAAATATTAATATGAAGATTAGGAAAAAAAATTAGAAACGATAAACTCATTGTCAGCCTAAAACATTTTTCTCTAAATAGTCGTCGGATATTATTTTGCTGCAAAAATACAAAGTCTGCAAAGCTTCTCAAGAAATTTTCAAAACAAAACAAAACCTTGAATTTTTAAAATTAATATTCATGATGAAAAATATTGAAACTTTAAACTAAATTGAAAAGAAAATAATGATGATGATCTTTTTTCAATTAAAGGTTTTTTGAGCAGGACCAAGAATTTGCACCGGAATAATTATTTTGTCACATTCCGCCCTTCTTTAGCGACATTAAAATAATCTTCTCTAATAAGAAATTCCAAGAATTAGCTGAGGTGTTAAATTATTGTTTAAAATTCCCTGAACCTCTTCAGACGTGTAAATCCAGAAGCGCTGCTCGCATAACTAAAAATCTCCTCCACTTCCCAGGTAATCCTTTTTTTAATCAAGCAACTTTCTGAATTAAATAACGGCTCGTCATCCGCTTTATGACGCGCGCGCGGGCCATAAACAGCTTTTTCCCCGTGTTAAGCAGGGAGTTACAAACGCAAATTAGACTCGCAAAAAGCATCGCCGCTTTTAATTTCCACCCAGCTGCGCCAATTAAATAACGAAGAGCGCCATTCCCAGGTGCACGATGACGCCATAATCGGCAGGGGTGCGTGCGAGTGCAACTTTAATGGCACACTCTGTTCGCGTGCGCTTTTCTCCCCCTAAAATTTAACGGCCCCGCGGTTTCTTCCTCATAACACGAACAAGAGATGCGGTCCATTCAATATTCACAAGTTGGATCTTCTTACCGCAGCCACCATTTTCAAATATGAAATAGGTGCTCATTCTTTACGATAAATATTTTAATTGTCTTTTATCCAAGTTAATTTTAATATTTTACTTTTTACGTGCAAAAAGTGCGATCGATTTTCATAATTAATTCCTAAATAATTTGTATTGATATTATAAATTAAATAAAATAAGGCCAAATTTTCAAATCATACTGAAGCTTAATTTTATTTTAATTATTTTACTTTAAGATTTGCATCACATTAATTATTTTAACCTTCAAAGTTTAGTATGTAGAAAAATATATAATTAAAAATAATACAGTAGACGCGACTGGATCAATTCATTCTTTCCGTGAATCTTTGAAGCAATCGAAAGAATGTCACATTCTTATTCAAAATTATTTACTTATTTTATTTGTAAATTATCTTGGAGTTTCCTTTTATTCCTGAGCTGCAGTGAGACGTGGTCTTAAATCACTAAAAACAATTTTTTCTTTAGTGGAGCTTTTTTCAATTTGTACAAAATTCATGTTGGAACAGAAATTAAAACGGACCCTGATCCTTAAATTCGCTATTCTTCTCTCCATTTTAAAAATCACTTGCTAAAAATTATCATTTTTATTTTTTTGTAAGAACATGGCTTTACCTGGAACTCTAAAACTAAAAGCCAACACAAAAAGTACATAGCTTTTTAGAGCAAAAGTTTTTCCACCAGAGTTTCACCTGTACTTTTACAAAGGAAATTACCACTTTAGAGTAAAATTTTGCTGTAGCATAACAATTTTCACACAGCAAAAAATATTATCCAGTATACAGAGAGCTATTCAAAGCAGGAAAGTTGGAAGAATTAAGAAAAAAGCTGATAAATATTTGGAAAAATTTCTTATAACATATAGTCTGGATAGTCTTGGTATAATTCTGTAAGTTTAAAAAAACTTTTGCTCAATTTTAATTCCAGATATTCCAAGTTCCGAGTGAATTTTGTCCACAAATAATTTTTAAATCTACATAAATATTCAAGGAAAATGGTTTCTGTCGAATCCATTATGCTAGCAAAATTCAACATGAAAACAATGTATAAAAAGCAGATTGGTTATTTTCCTCCGCGGCACTTTATTTTATCCGAATATCAGTCGACACCATATACTTTTTATTTATCTGTGGTGGATTTCCAATCACAATGCGCTAATGATATTAAAGCGTGCCAGTTCGTGAGGATTTTTATTTACAAATATTTGTCACGAGAGCCTTTTGAAAACAAATGAAATGCCAGTGGCATGAAAGCGACGCGTATCTCTGCGGCTACTTTTGACCACGATTTCTGGGAAAAGCAGGTGGATTTTTGCTGTGGTGAATTTTGTGTTGTTTTTTTCCACTCGAATATATTGTGGTGAGCAGAATCCTCTTAAAGTGCGCTTTGTGGAGTAAAATCTGTGGCTAAAAATTAATTAACGCTTTGGTAGTTTGATTGTGGGTTAATAAAATTGACAAAATTCAAAAATTTATTATTTTCCTTTGATGTTCTAAATTTAGAACTTTTAATTAAAAAAAGGTGTGCTTTCCCTTTTTTCTTTTCAGTCCTGGAGTGCCAATTAACTTCTTTTCTCAAATTATTTTTATTTATGAAAATTAATTTGCAAATGAACAACTGTGTTTTAATCAAAATCTTTTTTATTCCCTGCAATAAAAGGAAATTTTCAGGGAAATGTTAATATTGAAGACTGAAGAGTATTGTTGATATCTAGAAAGAAAAAATCCGCGGAATATTTATTATTATTGAAGCGAAGGATTTCCTTTTCGCAATCCAACAGATTATTAAACGAAACTCCCATCAACAATGGGCTCTGTATGGAGAAATATCTCTCAGTGGAAATGAGATACAGTTAAGGTGCGAATCTAATTAAAAGCTTTATCGCTCACTTCCTCTGCCGAATTAAATCAGCAGCCGATTCAAATCAAAGCTCATTTTCCGCCCGAGCTGTTCACTTAATTTAGCGCTTTTCCTGTGCGCGCCTCGCTTCGGAGGCCTCGATTGCAGATGCTGTGTCAAACGTGCGATTCTCATGGAAATGAAGTTTAAATAACTGCCGGGGCTGCACACGTTTCTCTAATCGAAAGCGACTCCCTGGATGCAATCGGCGTCGAATTTGCATTTCAAAGTGGCGCACGTTTAATTTTGATCGGGCCTGTAGCGACAACCAAATGCAAAACGGAGAGGCCTCCAGAAAATGCTCGGCGTCTTTCGGTCTTCATGAATTTTTATGCGGTTTTGATACAGTCCGGCTTTTATGCTTCCATAAATTTTCGCCGACAAAAACATTATATACAAGTCGGTTGTTTCTGTTAAGACTTTACGACTGCGTAAACCTGTTTTTATCAGAGAAGTGGAGAAAGTGAGTAAAACAGAAACGGCGCAGGGTTGTTTTAGGGTCCAGATTATTCCCGTTTTTAGCGGTGTGCTTAAAACAGCGAGCGAAAAATCGATATTTTAGGTCTTTCTTGTCTGCAAAAGACACTTACCTGGTGCTTTTTTGATAAAGTTTACGCCTTATGTGTCTGTTCTCACCAAAATTAACTTTTGGTTTGAAATTATATGTAAATTTTGAAATCAGAAGTTTTTCTTATGTCTTCTGTTCTAATTGTAAAATAATTTAATTTATATTTTAAATTAAATTCATTTCACTTGTTTCAAAGGAAATAAAACGTTTCAAAATATTTTAAATAAATCTTTTTATTTTTAACATTTTTTTGTTTAAAATTACAGTAGAGCATAATACAATATTTATATACATAATTCATAAATACAAATTCAATACCAGCAGTCTTGTCAATGAATTAACATTCACACACTTTCTTGAAGCTTATGCGAAAAGTTTTCCATATTTTTGACGTGGTAAAATTTATCTTAAAACATGATACACTTTTATATCACTTTTGGTAAACTTTTATCGCCTCTACTGTGCATTATTAATATATTCAGGGATTATCGCATTTGCGCGGGCGATAAATTCTAAGCTGGCGGCGGCTTTTCGCGAACAAGTACATACTTGGTAGACTCAATAAATAACACACTCTCGCTTGCAAAAAAAAGTGAAAAACAGCGTTTTGTTTCCTGTCGGCGTTCTTTTATTCACAAGAGGTATTTCCTCATTTCCTCACGCACAACCTTCTGCTGGGCGTATTTATTTGCAAACTGCCCATTCGAGTGCTAAACAGAAAAAAGAACTCCATTGCGAATGAGTTGCCTGCACGTGAAGGGTATAATTTTATGGAATTTCAAATTGCCGCGTTCATCTGAGTGGAACTCCGACCTCTGCGATAATATGAGAGCTGAGCCGCCGTTTGAGCTCAGTTCCTTGCGTGCGTTTATTTCCGACCCACAGAGCAGACGCATTTTGGCAGACAGTTAATTTCACTGTCGATTCCCAATTAGAGAAATTCATTCTTATCTTCTCGACCTGAAAGATCCTCACAATCAGATCCGTAGCCATCGAGTAACTTCAGAGTATAATTTCTTCATTAACAATAAGCAAAAGTTAAGGATTGTTTTCATGTTTTTTTCCAAAGCAAAATTTCTGATACGCTTACTTTTGGTTTGGATTTTTCTTTTAGCAATGTTCTTTTGAAAATTAAACATATTTTGATTTTAATATTAAAGAAATAAACAATATATCAAAATCATTGAGCTTTTTCTCAAATAAAAGGTCGTTTAAAGAACGTTTATCCACGCTAAAGAGCAATTTTCTTTAGTTTAATTTAATTGAATAAATTTTCATTCAAAATAATTATAACTAAAAAAAAACGTTTCCAGGTTTTCCATGCACTTGAATATTCCGGAATCCAAAAATAAGTTCTTGTCAAAATCTTCAAAGTGAAAAATTTAAGAACAAAACAATTGCTAGGCCTAAAAGTTTTGTCCGTTGCCATGCATGCTTTTCTAGATTTTATGAGTCCTTATAAGAGAACTAAAAAAAATCCATAATATTTGAAATTTAGAAGGAGCGGTCTCATCATCTACATGAAAATCGTGATATGCTTTCTTTTTATAAACTTGTGCCAAAAGTGTTTAAAACACCAAAATTGCTATATATGTCGAGGAACTTATTTGAAGTGCCTTTTGTTGGTTTTAAAAAAAAAATACTCTCTAATTTTTGTGACAAATTTTCCTTATTATAAATATTCAGTAATAGAAAAACAATGGATTTCTATAAAAAAAAATTATAAATATATATGTTCAAAATTCCACTTTAAAGAAATGAAAGATTAAATCATTCGCTCGCATCTGCACTTTTTGGAAATAAACACAACGTCACTCGGCTGATGGTTAAAAGCGTCAAATTAATTTTAGATTTTCACAATTTCTCGCCGCTGAGGCTGACCATGTTGTAGTACGAGTGGTCCGGGAAGCGTTCCAGCTCGATGTAGTCGGTTTCAGAGACGAGCAGCTTTTCCAGCAGCTGCACCGCCTCGGGGAAAGTGGGACGCTCTTGCGGCGACTTGTCCCAGCAGTAGAACATGATGTTGTAAATCTCGCGGCGACAGTGCTCGGGTTTCTCCAGCCGCATTCCATCGCGAACCTTCTTGAGCACCTCGGCCGCCGCCAGACCCGGATAGGGCGTCGACCCCAGGGTCACCACCTCCCACATGAACACGCCGAAGCTCCACACGTCCGACTTGGAGGAGAAAATGTTGTCGTACAGACTCTCGGGCGCCATCCACCGGATGGGCAGGCGGCCCTCGGACTTGCGTTCGTACACCAGGGCTGAGGCCAGGTCTCGCGCGAAACCGAAATCGGCCACTTTGCACACGCGGTCCGTGGTCAGCAACACGTTTCGGGCCGCCAGGTCACGATGGACAATCTGCGGACAAGGCAAAAAATTTATGAAAACTACTTCAAGTGAAAAAGGCAATTACGTCCTGATATTTTTATTTGTGAAGGATTGAATACTTATATAAAATTCCTGGTAAATTTGAACTCTAAATTTTTTTTCTGATTCCGGCATTATTATTTTTTTGTTTGTAATTAACAGATGCAGATGAATTTTGTTGTGAAAATCATAATGAACAAATATTTGCATTTAATTTTTGGCCCCCTCTTATTATTTTCCGGGTCTCTTGGAAACAAAATTTTTCCATTATTCATGCTAAATTTTCATAAAATAACGTTGTTTGAACAAAACTTGTGCAGATAAATATTTTCATTCAAAACAATCAACTCAAATTGGGAAAAAGAATTTCTAGAAGCAGATGAGGAAAAGCAGTTGGAAATTCTATCATTTATTTGCACAGCCAAATATAATTTTCGGCAGAATGAGGGAAAAGATTGAAACAAAATATAATGTTACTTTAGCCGTTGAAAATTTTTTCTAATTTCTAATTAATTAAAATTATCAAAGAGTTTCTTTTGGAATAAAAAAAATATTATTAATACATAATTAAATCACTGCGATCACTGCACTGATTATGTAGATGGGTAAATTTTTTTACAAAATAAATAAATTTTTAAATTTCGTGTTTTTTACTAGGACAAAATTAATTTATTCAATTAATCCCTAAAAATTCTTTTATTGTGAGGTGGATTTTGCTGGTGTTGAAAAATTCACCAACAGAATTGGGCGCAATGAGCCACTCTCACTCAGCATGAGTAAAGCTCTTTACAGCCCTCAAAATCCGACCACGTCCGCGCCAAATTTATTGAAACGGATTCGCACAATGGTGGCGGCGGCAAAACTCGTAAATTATTCCACCACCTTTTTGCACGAGCAAATTTGACTGTCAGAAACACCATTAGTACTCCACTCACCCCTTTGGACGAGAGATACTCCATCCCTCTGGCCACCTGGTACATGAAGCTGGTCAGCTCTCGTGAGGTCAGACTGTCGCTGCGGCCGTGCAAATTTCCGTACTGCCGGTCGGCCCTCGAGTTGCGGAGGAAACTTTGCAATTTGCCCATCGCCGCGTACTCCATGATCACGAACAGCGGCTCTGTAAACACATTACACGGGGTTGGTCACTCCAAACTGTACTTGAAGATATGATATTTCAAGTTGCTCCGTCGTCTATGGCCTGTCTGTGACGCTGTTAATATCTCGCATATATGCAAACAAATTCCAAATGTTGACATACTCCCTACAGAAGCAGGTAATATCTTTTGGGCACAAAAGACAAACTTTGATGATTCGATCGTGAATGATCCTAAAAGGGTTTTAAAGTATTATGGTTGTCAAATTTTTCTTCTAAAATTTTAAAATATTTTTTTTTTCAGACGCTTCAGCTATTGAGTCAAGTCCTGGACTTACAAAAATGTCCTTTGTGCCCAAAAAATTCTCACCGAAGTTTGTTCTGCGGTTCGACAATTATTAGAAGGGGTGAAGATACAACATAACACATAACTTTTTTCAATTAAGGATTTATCTGAATAAACAAAAAACATACTTAAAATTTCCAGGCAAAAGCAATTCTATCAAAATTCTATTTAACAATATACAATTTAGAGAGAATAATAATTATTTGAGGACATTAAAAAAATAGGTCCTTCTCACGTCTTTTTGTTAAGAAAATGAAGTGTTTAAGAAATAAATAAGCATTATTTCAAAATCCATTGCAAATATTAAAATATCTAGAAAAAAAAATTAAATTCAATATTAATTTTTGGATGGTTTTTATGAATGAAGTTAAATTTTCAGAGAATAATGAAGGCACGTTTAATTAAGGCACAAAAACTGTCCAACGCCTGTAAATTATACATATTTACGCACCATCTGAGAATGATATGCTTAATACCGCCTTTAAACCCTCCTTGTTTGCGCGCCTCAAAATGGAAACTTCCCCTGGACAAACAGCTCTTGCACTTAATCAGGAAAGTTTCCCTCACAAGGAGAAAATAATCTTAGTAGCAAAAGAAGCAATTACATCAAAAGCCCAGTTTCTGGAATGCGATTCATTGCGCTCCTCATACTAAAAACAAATATTTGCCCCGGGCGTATTCATTTAGCGCAATTTAATTATGTTTAACAAGGCGCAGTTCTTGGAACTCGGAGACGATTTACGCGGTGCTAAAATACCAGAATTAAGCGTTGAAACTCCAACGCGAAAATTGTGAAACATTCAGTCTTCAGACACCTATTTCAACCAAATTTGTAGAAATGGCAAAATTCTATAGATAATTAAAATAATGATGTAATTTTTGGCTAGAATCCACCCCTTCAATTAATATGGAGCTTAAAAGTCTTGAAAATTATGCAGCTCGCAAAAAAAAGCACAATGTCGCAAAAACGTCAGGTTTTCATAAAAATTGAGATCAAGATAATAATTTTCCTTGTCAGCTCTAGGAAATTCTCATCAAGCTCAAAACACAAAATAATTTTTTGGAAAAGTTATTTTCTCACCTTTTTCCGTGCAGCACCCCAGGAGTCGCACCACGTTCGGATGGGGGTCGAGCGTTTTCATGACCTTCAGCTCCTGTTGGAGGTCCTCGCGTTCTTTGTCGCCAGCATTGTCCTTGAGAGTTTTCACTGCAACGACTGACGCCCCCTCACGACCTGCAACACCATATCAGAGTTACAATTAATTATGTTCAAAATTGAGAGCGTCCCCCATAGCTGTGTTATAAAGAGGGCGGACGGATTTTGAGACTTAGTCATGGCGGGGCTTCGTTGCTTATTTTGTTCAAGGCAAAGTTGGTCGACTTATGCTAATTAATTTCGTCATCAACCCTCACAACAAACTCCGCACCCTCGGTCTTCCTCAGGCGCCCTAAGCTTTCAAAAGCAAAAGATTTGTGAGCTTTTTCCGTGTGCCATGTCCTTGTTTGAGAATAAATAATTTTCCCAATTTTAAGTTAATTTTCTTTTTATTTGTCTTCAGAAGAACGAAATATTTCAATTTTTTGGAGTATGCTTCACGAGCAATCACAGCAAATTTAATGTTTTACTTCTTGACATTGTTATGTTAATAAAGACAGAAAAAATTTCTGGGAATTTTCCATATTATTTTTTATATCACAGCAAGGACTCAGCTAATAATTTTTTTCCTGCATATTTTCCAAGAATATATTAATTCAACTTTTGAATTCACGATGGTAAATATTAATACAAATTTATCAAGTTAACTAACATAATTACTTGCAGGAGTTGCATGTTATCAACATAATATTTTATTTTTACTGCTTATTTATGCATTTATAATGGTTAATCGTGATGAATTTTAGGGAAAGACTAAAAGCGAAAACCGTTTTCTTTTGCTTCTCATTTTTGGTAAAAATTGTCTGCAATAATTTGAATTCAATTTTATATAAAAAACGACGAAGTTCATTTTCCAATTAAAAAGTAAAAAATGAGTTATCAAAATAGCCTTCGGACAGTCGAAGAATGAAAATAAATCTCTCTCAATTTTGATTAACTAAAAATAATAAAAATTTGTTACGTGATGACGATTCGCTATTTCAACTGAGATTTCCCTGCGTCCCTTCCTGGAATGAAGCTTTTTGCCGAATGAGTTTGGCAAAGGAGAGCTGAAAAGTGAAAAGTGTCTTTTTTGGGCGGGAAGCAAAGCCAAGATCATCTGTTGCTTTTGGGCCATTTGGACGCGCGCCCACAGAAAACCCACAGCATACACGCGTCTATGGTACACTGTACGTCCTTTAACAGAATTTCGGCAGGAAACATGTTTGCCAGTTTTGCACGAGTATTTTGAGCGGCATGCGAATGAAGTGGGCGACCTTTGAGGGCCCGAAACAAATTAGAGGGCGGAGATTCCACCAGACAGAAGAGGGTCCTTTCAATAAGAGCAAACTTTAAATTTTTGAAGCAGGGTTTTACTTTTGAGTTTTTTATTCGAAGACCTAATAAATATTTGTGCTTTTAATTACCTGTTAGATATGTATTAATTTGATTTTTTTTTAAATATCTTCAATTAAATAAATATCTTAATAGTCCTTTCATATTTATATTTTCCTCTACTTTATTAAATTTTTTTACTTGACGTATTGGAATTAATTAAATCAAATATTTAGTTTCAAATTAGAAAAATTTAATGCAATTTTAAGTTCTGGAAAATGAATTTAATCGTGACTAAATTAATTATCCATCCTGTTCGCTGCAGATAACTCGGTGACGGCGCATGATCTCGGTATCTATCTGCAGCTCATGAACAAAAGCCGCAGTGGAATTTCTCTAGTGAATTATTCAGCGCCATTAATCAATGTGGAAGTCGCGCCCATCCAGATCTCAACCGCGGATGGCATTCACTTCTTGTCACGGCATGTTCACGACACAAGAAATCCTCTTCGCACCGACAACTATCCTTAATATGTTGGATTTGCGATTCACATTAATTCGCAAAGGCACGCCAGAACACTGCGCTTTTCTTGTTTGCCTTAAAACGGTGGTTTAGATTAGCCCAAACTTTCAACAAGGAGAGAGAATAATTTTGTGTGTTCAGAAACAATTTTGAAACAAAGTTTGACTCTAAACATTGCTTGCTTTGTAAATCATGTTACTTAATTTTCAGTTATCTTGTCTTCCCGTTGTTATTATTATTATTTTTATGAAAAACGTTTTGGCAAAGAACCGCGTCAAATGCGATGATTTTTTTTCGCAAAATCTGGAGCAATTTTCCTGTCTCTTCTTGCTGAATTTCCTATCTTTTGCTCTTTCGCTGAAAATGAGACTCGCAGTCTCAAAATGATTTTTTTTTTCATAATTACAAACAGGAAAGGAGTAAAGGATAAAATATATGTGTGTTTTATAATGTTCGCATAATAACGATCTTCTAAAATTAGAAAATAATATCGAATTTTATATGGCATCAGTTGACTTTTTAATCAGGTGCAAAGTGACAAAGAATTGTAAAATTTCCTCTCAAAGCAATGTCAGTCATGTGATGAATTAAGCCAAAGAATTCCTTAGAGTTTCTTTAGGAAATCTTTTTGAAGAAAAAGTCTCTTCGATGTTGTACGGGATTGAAATTGAAATAGGATATTCTCTTTGAGGATCGAATAATAAAAACCAAAACCCCAAACAAAAAAAGAGAAAATAGAATGTCACGTACCATCTATATCCATCGCCTCGCATTTCCAAACTTGGCCGAAACATCCTTCTCCGAGGATGTGGAAAACCTTCAGTCTGTGTCGAGGAAACTCCCAGCGGTCCTCCTGGGCAATTTTCTCCGGTATTCCGGGCTCCATCTGCGAAAACTCGCCGTGATTAGGGCGCTTCAAAAGAAACGTGTTTAGCTGAGGAGGGTTTGATAAATTTCAGCAGGCATGAAGTGGTTTGTTAGGCAGGACTACAACATTAATTATTATGCTATTCATACATCCTCGGTTCCCTTTTGCCTCGACTTCTTATCTCGGTATTTTTATTTACAAAAGGCATGAAAAATCAGCACAAGAGAACGCTGAAATTACTAAAGACCTTCTTGTGCACTTTTTAACTTATGACTCTCTTCTTTGAAAACTTTCTAATGAAGAGAGGAGATTTTCAATTTACGTGGAAATGTAAAAAGGAGAAATTTTTAGCTTTTATAAGCTGCTTTTCATTTTCTGAGAAATACATGAATTATTTAAACAAGAATTTTTGTAGCGGAAAAAAGATTTTAGCTTTTTTTCTGCAACCGGCTCGATCCAAGTGTGGCGCAGGTTGCATAACCGTGTTTACCACAAGTCTCTCAGGCGCAACAGTTTTCAAAAGATTATTTCACAAACGGCACTTCTGATTTATGGAGCTGTCGCACGCGAATGCGTGCAGCACTAAAACCTTTTTGCAAATTATCGAGAGAACGCTTTATTATTCGGCTGTCAAATTAAGTTGCGTTGGCGATTATCTCCATTACCGTCAACATTATGATTTTATTCAAATTGTATCAATTCATATGCTAGTTGGTGCTGATTCAATGAAATTATTCATACAGTGCCTAGCTAACGACACACAAATGGACGCGCGGCATTCAAATTTAATGCTTGATGAAGCTTTTTACTCCTCGCTGCGGCATTTATACTAATTTCACTACACAGGCAAATCAGTGAAGGCTTCAAAATGGAGTTTTCAGTTTAAAATAATCAGATTAAAGAAGAAAGCATGTCAAGTAAAAAATGATCAAATAATATATAATTGTTAATTAATTTTAGAAATATGAGGATATTACGATATTTTCCGCGATAAAAAGCTTCTATAAATTAAGTTTAGTTTAAATTTTCAAAATTTTAATAACAAAATTAGTTAAATAATTATATTAATATCCCTAAAACAAGCAGCAAATTTTTATTTATATTTTTGTAAAGCATTGAAACTCACTTGAGAAATGGTGGTGTCTCGGCTCCAGGACGACTCGTAGCGGTTCAGAGCAGGTCTTGGGCCGCCCCAGTTGGCCGCGGAGGCCTGCAGCGCCATCCCTCCGGAATCCTTCCTCTGAGGGGAGAAAATTAAATTTCCCAGATTATGCATACGAAATTACAGCCGGAGGCCGTCAGAAGTAAAAAAGGAAAAAGAAGCAAACGCACCATGCTCTCCTTGGTCTCGGCCTTTCTGCAAATTCTGTGTCTGAACGCGTAGAGCGCGCTTGCAATCGCGATGGCCAAAACGGCGCCGACGGCGATGACGGGCAGAACGGTGCTGACCAAATTGTCGCTCGGGGAATCGACCTCTGCGGTTTTGTTTTTCGCTGAACTCACTATCACGGACGTAACCCTAGCGACGGGGGCCTCAGCTGCGAAGGAAAATAAATTCAATTTCATATCAAGCTTCGGAGAATTTTGTCTTTAAAACAATTTTCCGGATTAATTAATTTTGGGTCTTACTGATTTCCTCCGGGAGGGTCGCTGTTGTGGTCGACGTGGTCGTCGTCGTCTTCCTTCTTGGAGGCTTGGTCGACCTCGTGGGTGGCTGGAAGGGTGGAAGTGGTGGCAGCCCCGGGCCAGGAATGCCGGGAGGCAGTCGGAGGCCTCCGCTGCTGCTGGGTTTGACGCCCGGAGGCAGAATTCGCACCCGCACTTCTGTTTTCGGACTAGTTGAGCCGTCGCTGACGGTCACGTACAGGAAGAACTGCTTGTTTTCCTGAAAATTAGCGCGGGCAGAATGAAATCGCTGAGTCGTGCAAAGAATGCAAATGAGGAGGAAATTTATGCTCCCCCAAATCCACACGTTTTTTTGCTAAAGGGTTAAAATTCAAGCTAAATCTGACCTTCCTGTAAGCTTATGTAAGCCGTTTGATGCTTTAAAGTTGCTTTCCGTGCTCTATGTTTAGCAGATTAATTAGTCAGGATATTAAAAGTATCAATAAATCAGTCTGAATCCCTAAATTTTTAACTTCAATTCTCTGCTACATTAAATCGTAATATTTTGGTAAAAACAAAACAAATTATTCAAATTTGGAAAAGTAAATTAACATAACAAATCTTAATAAAATTAAAATACTCAATAAAAAGGCAGTGATGTACTTCAGTTCCTTATTTAAATCACAAAATATAGAAAATATAAAATAATAAAGAAACAAAAATATCAAAATTAAATATGTTATTCTGTCTTAGAAAAACAGAAGTTTTCATGTGAATTTCCATGTCTAAGAAGTATAAAAAATAACTTAGGTTTTTTCTTTATTTGAAATATTGTCAAAAGTTAAAATCATTGATGAAGTTATTCAAATTTATTAAACTGCAGATTAAAAAATATATATATTTATATTTTGAAATAATTTAGGAAAATTTAACTTTTTCGTGAATATTTCTCTAAACGATAAGTTCCCGATTAATTTATTTGGTACCGCGTCCCGCAAGACATACGCTTACAATCAATTTTTTGACCAACTTTCATTGATGAGTAATTTCATAATTAAACACTAAATTGAAACTCACAAATTCCTCAAGCGTCTCGTTGACGTACACCACGCCGGTGACATTGTCTATGCGGAAAGGCGCGGGTCTGTCCAGATGCCCGAAGTGGTCGGGCGACGTCGGCTCTAGGCTGAAGGTCAGCGTGTCGCCGTCCACGTCTCTTGCGTCCGCCCGGACGACGACGCTGCCCAGCGGTTCCGTGGACGGCACTTGCCATTCGCGGTTCAGGGTTAGAGACGGCGGAACGTTGTCGCTGAATTGCCCTGCAAAATAAATGAGGAAAAATTTAAGTTAAATGCAAACTTTTGGGCTTCTCTGAAAATTTGAAAGGGGAGAATGTTATTATTTACATAATTAGTAAGTGGGATCCAATGTAAATTCCTGTAACTGAAGTGGAACCCACACGTCTTTAATTAAGGAGGAATGTTACAAACATTTTCGGTAGGGAAATAATTCTCTCTGATGTCATTTTTGCTCGAAGAGAAAATTCGAATAAGTTTACCTTATTAGCTTCTTTGTAGGTAATGAATAAAAAATACATTTTTTCATGTTTGGTACACATTCTTGTTCATTAAATAAATTAAATTCTTGAATTCTTTTTATGTGTTGATTAATACGGTTGTACTTCTATCGAGTCGTTTGTGACGAACCAATTGATTTGTTGAATAAGGCTTTCCTCATCACAAATACGCCAAATTGCGTGGGTTCATCCAAGGAAATCGCACGTATACGGTTTAAATCTGCCCAGGGTATACGTCTGGACCAAAATAGAAAGGAAGGCGGAAAAGCATGTGTGCGTATTTTCAGGCAAAAGCAATATATGACAGTAAAAAAATGTAAAAGCCAGACGTTTTCGTCGATCAATGAAAATCCCTATTTTTCTCAGGTTTTAAACAGTCAAACATTTAAAAGAATTTTGATGCATATATTTTTTTAAACTATTCCGGTAACGTTTTGAATTAAATCGCTTTTTTATGATTTAATTGGTTTGTTGATTATTTTCCAAATTTCACCCTTTCACTAACTGATGACAAATAGAAGAGCGGAATAGAATAATACAGTGCTGGGGAATTTCTAAAATATCCTACTAAAATGTTTTATTACACAGATCTACATAATGGAAAGTTTGCCAAAAGCTTAAAAAAATTATAGACTATCAAAATTTATTTGATAAAGACCGGCTCAAAACCGATTAACCAGGATATTGGCCCATTTTTTTTTTAGTTTTACTTTTTTTAATTTGTTCTTGGAATAAAATTATCTGACTAGCGTTTGAGCCAAATTCAAATGAACTTTTTAAACTAATGAAAGAATTTACCTGTTCGGAGCACAAACACGTGCCTAATAATAAATCTAGGTTAAATCTCGATTTCAGTGTAATTTTCATCAACACCGGCGAGTGGCGTGCAGCGAATAAGTTTTCGGCCACCAACATAATCACGCAATTAGTCTTTGCCAGCGGACAGTAATTAATTGAGTCAACTCGTGATTTTAATTAAACAGCCACGCTCCATTAGTTCGATTAATTACTTTAATAACGGCGAAATCAAATATGTGACATTTATCAAAGTGGCTGGCAACAAATCAATTTTAGCCCAACGCGAGACCATTCATCACAAAAAAAAACTCGATTAATTATGGTCAGTGCACATTTTGCCAGAGGACGGAAAAGCGACAACAACTCGATTAGGGCACGCTGCTGATTGGCTTGTTAGCGCTTGATTGCGGCTGCGGCGCCTCACAAATAATTCGGTATGAGAATTTGCAATATTTGGCAAATCCGACCAACAAAGTGCTTCTCTGACACAAAGCAATCATGGAAATCAGAATTTGCTTATCCTGTACGGTCAAATTTAACTTATTTAATTGAAATCCATCTGTATTTTAACCTAAAAAATCATACCATAGAGAGTGGACATCCTAGCACGTGTATCTGTAGAAATTATAGCAGGTATGGATTGGACACACAGAAATTTTATCCTCTTCTAATATCCAATAATTAATCCTTATTATTAATCTGAATTTACGTTTGTATACGTATCATTACATTTTTAATTATTTCTTATCGTGAAAATGAAAGCTTAAGTTTGAATTAATAATGTAAAAAAAATTGTTCAGTTCATTTAACACGACAAATGTAAATATACTACTCTTTTTAAAAAAATTTATACCCATGCAAATCATTTTATTAGACTTTCAGAGTTCAATAATCAGTGGATAATATAAAATATGATGAAATTATTTTTTTTAACCTTTCCATGCAACAATCAGTATTATTGCCATATTGTTTGAAGTAATAGTGTGCAAAAAATCTAATTTGATAAACTTAAATTGGCATTAATATAAAAAGAAATAGTTCTGGATAGTTCGATTCTATTTTTTTTTCCATTAAAAAGCCGCATCATGAGTGCGATTTGTTGACTGTTGGCAATTGTTTGCAGCCGAAGTGCGAGTCGCGTACCAACAGTTTTAATTATTCCGCTTTCCACGCACACAGGCGGAAAAGCCTTATAAAATCTGGCAAACAAGTCGCAGCCATTCAAATTATATGGGATCGCGTGTTGCCGTTGAAACACGCGCTAACAAAGTGAAACACCAACAAACAAAAAAACCACCGCTGCGTTAATTGTCCTTTTGGCGGGCGAGTGCAAATTTATCGTCACCACCATGCCGAACGAAAATTCGAGGGTGCAGTGCCCTAATTTGGAGCAAACATGGTGCCAGATGTTGTTTTTATTTATAATATGACTGGTGAAGTTCGCCAAGTGTGCTGTGATTTTTTTTCTCGTCTGCTGGCGAAGCTTTGGAGCGTCAAAATCATACAAATCGTTTTTATTGTTTGTGCTGTAGACAGGATTTTGTGTTAAATTAGCGATGTAAATTACAAAAAATTCCTTTCCTCTCAATTGTGTGGTTGTCAAAAGTAATTTAGCAGCGTTTGTTTTAATAAATTACGATTGGAAAACATCACTTATTAACTAAAATCAATATTTGTTTGCAAATAAAATTGTAGTGATTATAAAATAATGTAACATAATAAAAATGGAGATTTTCCTTTTTGTAAATTCACATGTTTCTGCATAATTCTTGCTAGGTGTAGTTCCGACGAATATTTTCAGTAAAATTTGTTTCTTGCAAATAAAATACAAAATGGGGTCAATTGAGGAATTAACAACAATAATAATAGTAAAAATAAATAAATAAATAATAATAAATAAAAAATCCCACACAAAATATTGCTATAAAAATAAAATTTGTAATTTTATAGAATTTTATATTATTAATTGATATTTGATAAAATAATCTTCTCGTCGTCTTTCATTTCCATCACTCGGAAAAAAACAAACTCCAATATATCTGAGCATACCTCAGCTTTAAGCACTTTCCTATCGTTGCAAGATTTTTTTCAAGTGTTTACTCGACGCAAAATCTGATCTCCAATCTCTCAGCTGCGCCTAACATCTTATAAAAAAAATCAGTAAAAGCAATTCTATTTATAAAGAAAATAAAAATATCGCGTATAGTGATAAAAAAAAGTATTCTTCACTACACTTCAATTATATTGCCAGATAATACCCAACATAATAGCACCTTTTCATCTAAACGGAGTGCACTTCAGAACCTCTCGTAATCCAGTTTTTCCGAAATGGAAACGCAAACTTCTTGAAAATAACGTCGTCCCACACATTTTGCAGAAAAATCAATGGCGAATCAAACAACGAAAAAGGACCTCTCGAGAAAATAATAAAAGTACGTTTGCGCGCCTAACCATTTTTATCTCTGCCAGGGGAACGTTTTGCGTTTGATTGAATTTGAATATTATATGAAGAAGAGGTTTTGTTTGTAGAGACACGTATGCTGCAAAAAAAAAATAGGGATGTGAGGAGTTTTCGCTGAAAGCAGCTTCGACTTCAGGAGACAAAAACAATGGAATATGTGGTGAAAGACTCTGTGCGTTTTCTTGCAAATATTTTCTGCGAGCAAAGCATTGTATTCCATCTTTTGGATTTGCGTTGGAGAGGCACTCAACAAATTAGCAGTGGTTCCTTTCACAGAGTTAGTCATGTAGATTTGCAGAGAGTGAACAAGGCGAATAGGCGCCAGGGAAACTCTTACAGATGCGCAGGTGGAGCTCGAATTCGGGAGTAGTGGAATTTATAAAAAGCGACGCTTAAATTCACTTTGCAAATAATGTAACGAGCTCAGAAAGAGCTAAAATATTATTTAATTTATTATTATTAAACTTATAGTATTAATTTTTGTAAGGAGATTGTTAATTTTCTCTTCTTAAATTATATAGAATTTCCAACACTGTAACCAGAATATTATATTTTAAATTGAAGAAGACGATACTTTCTTAATGGTACCTCATAAAATGCTTCTATGTGTTCCCAATCTTTGAATATTAAAATAATATTTTTACTGGAATTCCCAACTTTTAAGGTTATTTCACCCTTAACTTCTTTTTTCTCCTTTATTTTTAAATTTGAAAAGTGAACAATTTAATTATTTAAACAAACTATTTTTGTATCGTGTTTTACAACAAAGACCAAACTGACAATGAATTCTTTTATTAACGTAATTTAAAAAACAAGAAACAGCTTATTTCATGTATTTCAAATAATTGAACTTAAAACACCAACATTTGTTTCTATTATTGTTTAATATAATATACATTTGAATTATTATATTTTTTGAATATTTCTTAACGTTTTAACGTCACTGATTTAAAAAATTTAAAAGAAAAAAAATAAAAATAAAAATTCAAATAAAGCAGAAAACATAAAATAGATCTAAAAAATTGTATTATACATAATCAACATTACTTTTTAAATAAATAACCTTCCAAACTTTTTTCTAAATTTCCGAATTGACAAGTGTTTGAGGTTTGAGGTGAAGGAAACTTTTATTCCTCCCGGTCCAATAAATTTCTGAAGAGCCTGCCTGCTGTGCCATCAAACGCATTCCGGCGAAGGCGCTACCGGAGACACGGCAAGGTGTCACTTTCGCAGACAGGCAGGTCGAACGAATCCTGGCGGAGTCACAAAGTTGAAAGAGAGAGTTGCCGGCTCCATTAAGCTTTCAGTGTGCCGCGTTCACGCACTTCAGCATGTACAATTCAATAGAGCGCCGTGTGTATTGCAAGGTCGAGCCGTGCGTGACGTCAGCGGGCCTTTCCTTCTTTGCTGCTGACGCGGATGTCAAAAAGCAAAACGCGCCAGTTCCCGATGCCCTTCCAATGCCAAAATTAACGCAATCAATT